TGTGTGTGTGTGTGTGTGTGTGTGCTTCAGCAGCTGGGGTGGCTGACTGTGTTGAATCACTGGGATATGCTTTCTCTCTGCATAAGTGTCTCCTCTATTAAAGCTGCAGTGGCTATTGATTTCTGAGTGAGCAGATTTTTATGCTGATGTGAGCAGGTCCCACTGGCCAAGAGACAGAATGAGACTGTGATCATCTCAACCGCAGGATAAACCTTCCCGTGACATCACCAGAACTCAAAGTTCATATCACACACACACACACACACATTTACTCGGCTAAATGAGGACACACCAGAGAAAAGCTAATTCATAATAGAAAACTTTGTTTGTTTGTTTTAAAATGTATTTGTTTTCCTTTTAAAGCAGTCCACAATCCAGTCGCACATTACGTATTTTTGAGTTTCTGTTGATCATATTTAACGACCTTTATGTACTGTATGTGTGTTGATCAATCTTTATACTACCAGTCAAAGTTTGGGATAATTAAGAGTTCTTTTTTTTTTTTTTTATGTTTTCGAAAGAAGTCTCTTCTGCTCACCAAGTCTGCATTTATATGATAACAAAAAAAAATAGTTGTGGACACTATGATACTTTCCCATTCAAAAGTTTGAGGTAAATAAGATTTGTTTTTTGAGAAAGAATTTATATTTATAAATTTGTAACATTTACAATGTTTCAAGATTTTTATTTCAAATAAATGCTATTCTTTTTAACTTTCCATTCATCAAAGAATCCTGAAAAATAAAATGTATCAAAGTTTCCCCAAAAATATTGTGCAGCACAACTGTTTTCAACATTGATAATAATCAGAAATGTTTCTTGAGCAGCAAATCAGCATATTAGAATGATTTCTGAAGATCATGTGACACTGAAGACTGGAGTAATGATGCTGAAAATGCAGCTTTGATCACAGAAATAAATTACAGTTTAACACATATTCACATAGAAAACAGCTGTTTTAGATTGTAATAACATTTCACTGTTTTCCTGTATTTTTGAATTAATAAATGCAGCCCTGGTAAGCAGACTTATTTCTAAAACATTAAAAAGCTCAATTATTCCACATTTTTGACCAGTAGTTTATATGTGAATAAAACCTAAATTAAATCTGCTCATCATCTCTAGCTATCGTGTCTCTGCAGAGGACTTGAATTAAGCTGCTCAAATCATATGGATTACTTATAGGCTGTCTTTAAGAAGTTTTTGAAGCATCACATTTCGGTTGCTTGGCGTTTGAATAGATGGACAAAAATGATGTGTGAATATTAAAATTATCTTCATTTGTATTTTGAAGATGAACAAAAGTCATGCAGGGTCTAGAAGGACAGGCGTATGTTTATTTTTGGATGAACTGTCCCTTTAAATGTCCCGTGTGTGTCTCAGCTCAGTGTTGCTCTGAGAGTGACGGGGTCAGCAGGGTCACTGAAACAAAGCAGGAAAACAAGTGTGATGTTTATCGCTGTAGTCATTTCCAATATCCACTTCATATTCAGCACGTTTGTGTAAGGTCTCTGCAGTCAGCAGTTCTAGTGATCTGCCCATCTAGACAGCACAAGGCTGCTCTAAACAGCAGGATGCACAATTATTCTGCCTCATTAGATATCTTGCTTTGACCAAATTCTAAGGCAGCATCGCATGAATTCTCCATGAATAAGTCAATCCCAAAATGCATGACGGCTTGAAAATATTGCAGAAAACAACCGTCATTTGGAACGCAATTCACACAAAGGCTGATACTAATGAATGTCAGTTGTACCAATTTGACATTGTTACACATGATTATGCTTCACTAATTACCTATTTTAGAATGAGAACTCAAATGAACTCTGCAGACATTAGCAATGCTGCATCTTTAAAAAAAAAAAAAAAGTTTCTTGAATAAACAATTGGTGGAATAATTCATGCAAATGTTCTAATTAGTCTCCTCCTTTATAAGAATAACATAGCAAATGAATGTATAGCATTTTAACAATAGCAATAACCAGACAAAAAAAACACATGGGTTTTCACTTTGTTTAGCATTTTTGTCTACAGAAACAAGCATGTTTAAAGGTGCAGATGGTTTGAAAGTGCTTGTTTTGATCAAAACCAGTCATTTAAGAGAATTTTATTCTGGTTTTTAATTCACTGGAAATGATAAAAGTTTGATCCATCTAATTGAAAATGTACTGTTTAACCCAATGTTTGAGTGCTTATTAGAGCATCAAGTCAGGCCACCTTTATTTCTGTAACGTTTCATACAATACAGATCGAGTCAAAGCAGTTTCACAGTAATAAACAGGAAAATAGCAGAATCAATTATGGAAAGTCAAATATGGAGTTCAGATTGTACTGTAAAGCAGCTCTAAAAGACCATAGTGTCATTATTCAGCTCCAGTTCATCAATCTGAATCAAATTCAGTTCAGCTATAATTATTTCAACAAAAGGCAATGTTGTTCTTCAGCTTGAGTCAGTTCATTGTTGATTCAGGTCAGTTCAGTATCAGTGTGGATGCTGCACACAAGCACTGTGTTCCTTTTGCAGAGAGTAAATGAAGAGAAAAGGAGATCTATTGTCTGTCAAATGAAATGGTGTAGTGTATATATGTATATACAGTATACTGAAATAATTATTACCTGTTAAACACCCTCAATATGCTAAACTTATTATTTGTGTATGAGTTTTTTCGTTCTTTTTTCTTCTTCTTTTACTTTTTTATGACTCGGGTATTCTTCTCTTTGGTCTATCTTTTGTGTGTAATAGCAGTTGTTTTGTTATTATCAGTGCGCACAGTCTATCTGTAGTTCATCCTGTGCTATATTTTGTCCTGGTTGATGTTGAGGATGGAAGTCTGCAAACAGCCTGCCATTATAAAAGTTGTCCTTGATTTTAAAAGCCCTGGGTAAAAACAGATGCTATCTATCTGTATGCTGCTTTTGAACGAGTTGCATGTAGAGTGTTTCAAATCAGTGTCTTCTGAGGAACCATTTAGGTCAGGATCCTGCCTTAAAGTCAGCAAGAAATGGAAATTGTGAAAAATTTAGCATATTGTGATATTTTTCTGAGTGAGATGGGTTATTAAACTATATATATATATATATATACTTGATTTAATCCATTGGTTGTTGATTGGATTGTGAACAGTTAGTGTTGCACACCTGAATGAGGCAGATCTGAATGTCATTGGCTTAAATGCATTGCAGTCTCATAAGGAGCAAGTTATGACATTTTAATTGCAAAGATTATGAGGAATATAAAAAATATGCATGCATGAATCATTCACAATAAGACCAGTAACATAGAAAATAATGAGAATATTTTCAAAATAAATGACAATTGTGATTTCATGCCGACAGCTGTCTATGTAGACAGTAAAAACTGAGACCAATCACTCAAATGCAAGAAGAAGAGCAACTTCAGGCACAGTAATGAAATAAAACAAGGCAGAATTGTTTGAATAAGAAAATACGTCTCTAGGTTACGTATGTAACCATGGTTCCCCGAGGGAACGAGACGCTGCGTCGAAGTCGCTTTGGGAACGCCCCTGCGTGACCGCATTCTGAAGCACTTGTCAAATCAGTCCAATGGAGTAGCGAGACGTCACGAGCGGGGTGACGTAAGCACCAGAAAGTATAAAAGCGCATCCGGCAGAGCGCAAACCAGCTTCGATGAAGTAGCGCCTGCAGGGATGCAGGGAGTATGGCAAAGAGACGCAGCGTCTCGTTCCCTCGGGGAACCATGGTTACATACGTAACCTAGAGACGTTCCCCTTCAGGAACTCGAGCTATGCTTGTGCTGACAGACAACAGTAAATAGACAGACACATACACAGAGTGCTACTGAAGAGCAGAAGCTGGTTTGCGCTCAGCCGGATGCGCTTTTATACTTTCTGGTGCTTACGTCACCCCGCTCGTGACGTCTCGCTACTCCATTGGACTGATTTGACACGTGCTTCAGAACGCGGTCACGCAGGGGCGTTCCCAAAGCGACTTCGACGCAGCTCGAGTTCCTGAAGGGGAACAGCTTGAACACACACACACTGACATGCTCTGTCTGAACAGGCGTTTATCAGCCGGCTCTATAAACTTCCCTTGTGCTTCAGTTGACTGAAACAAATCTTCTCCCTCATTTAGTAAATCAAAGCACTTTGTGCTCTACAATGATCCGTCAATTAGCACAGCTCCGATTAATTACTGGCTGCGCAGACGCTCTCACACTGACGCACGTACAGCCAAACCTGTCCAAAACACCACACTCATCCTCATGAAGACTCATGTGTGTTGATTTATTAAGTGTGTGTGTCATTGTGTTTTCACAGACATGTGCGGTGGGCTTCCGCAGGGTTAATGGGACGCTGTATCGTGGCGTGTGTGAACTCTGTCAATGCCACGGACACACAGAGCACTGCGACGACATCACTGGACACTGCCTGGTAATGTGTGTGTGTGTGTGTGTGTGTGTCCTCATTACTGAGGTGAGGGACTGTCTTTTGTTTTTTCTTTCTTTTCTTTTTTCATAGTGAGTGTACAGAATTGACTTGCTTTGTCATTGCTGCTTTTGTTGTTGTAGCTGTTTGCCCATAATAACAGAACTGCATTATAACACAATCTGCTGTAAATGCAGTTCAGATGGAGTCACAGAAAATAGAACCGTTCCATTTCCTGTGTGTGTGTGTGTGTGTGTGTTGCACACTCTCTTCTGTCTCATTCTCTCTCTTCCATCCAGTGAGTGTGTTATTGTAAAGCCAGAGTAAATGGCACGGGTTTAAATGGGTTGTTTATTTGTATGCAAACACAAACAAGGTTTGCGTCCACATGATCTATGAGTATTGAATTATGTTTAACGTACATAACTGACACATTACCAAACAACAGCAAACACAAACAAACGTGTTCAGACGACAGTATCACTACAGCAGAGAAAGAGAGAGAGAGAGAGAGAGAGAGTGTGTGTGTGTGTGTGTGTGGATGGATGGATTGCGCTGTGATTTTCACTGTGTGCATTTGTATTTACCGCTCACAGATGAAATACTAGCGCTGTCCATCCGATCCATTTGTCTGACACTGTGTGTCTCTGAAAGACTGATTAAAAGTGTGTGTACCTGCTGCCGAATATTACTTTTAAAAGTTAGCCATCACAATACTGTGAAATGCGTAATAAAAAGTAAACAATTATGTTACATTGTTACTTTTTATGGAAAGTAACGTATGTGATACTTTTGACTTAGACAGTTGCACAGAAGCTGCATGTGTGAGAATGATTCCATTTTTTTTTATTTTTATGGAAGTTTAATGGGGCTCTGATGCGCTTTTCATTTTATCTGCAGACTCTTTGTCTATGGGTCAAAGACAAAAAGGGGGTTTCAAGCATTAAAAACAATAAAAGTTAAATGCAGCTTTATGTATTTATTTGTGTGCTTATTATTTTTAGAAAAAAATATTTTTATTATTTTATTTTGTTATTTTTATTATTTTAGTACATTATAATTTGTCCTTTTTGATTTAATTTTTTTCTGATCAAAAATGACCGTCATGCATTTTTATCATGATTTACAAAAAACATGTACTAAAATGTCATTCAGTTTAACAGTAGTTTAAAAAAAAATCTTGTCAAGCATAGTTAGAACAAGAATCATTAGAAGTCATTAAAGACATTAAAAGATCATAGTGTAGCCCCCCAAAAAACTAATTAATTGTCATTTTTTTATCTTTACCAACACACAAATCGTGTGTATCCCCCGCCGCCAGATATCGTGGGCAGGGAGGAACACAGCGTTTGTAATGCCGTTCGCTCGCCATAGACTTTTTCATGATTGTTTTTTATATATGCTTGTGCGGACAGACAACAGTAAATAGACAGACACATACACAGAGCGCTACTGAAGAGCAGAAGCTGGTTTGCGCTCAGCCGGATGCGCTTTTATACTTTCTGGTGCTTACGTCACCCCGCTCGTGACGTCTCGCTACTCCATTGGACTGATTTGACACGTGCTTCAGAACGCGGTCACGCAGGGGCGTTCCCAAAGCGACTTCGACGCAGCTCGAGTTCCTGAAGGGGAACAGCTTGAACACACACACACTGACATGCTCTGTCTGAACAGGCGTTTATCAGCCGGCTCTATAAACTTCCCTTGTGCTTCAGTTGACTGAAACAAATCTTCTCCCTCATTTAGTAAATCAAAGCACTTTGTGCTCTACAATGATCCGTCAATTAGCACAGCTCCGATTAATTACTGGCTGCGCAGACGCTCTCACACTGACGCACGTACAGCCAAACCTGTCCAAAACACCACACTCATCCTCATGAAGACTCATGTGTGTTGATTTATTAAGTGTGTGTGTCATTGTGTTTTCACAGACATGTGCGGTGGGCTTCCGCAGGGTTAATGGGACGCTGTATCGTGGCGTGTGTGAACTCTGTCAATGCCACGGACACACAGAGCACTGCGACGACATCACTGGACACTGCCTGGTAATGTGTGTGTGTGTGTGTGTGTGTGTCCTCATTACTGAGGTGAGGGACTGTCTTTTGTTTTTTCTTTCTTTTCTTTTTTCATAGTGAGTGTACAGAATTGACTTGCTTTGTCATTGCTGCTTTTGTTGTTGTAGCTGTTTGCCCATAATAACAGAACTGCATTATAACACAATCTGCTGTAAATGCAGTTCAGATGGAGTCACAGAAAATAGAACCGTTCCATTTCCTGTGTGTGTGTGTGTGTGTGTGTTGCACACTCTCTTCTGTCTCATTCTCTCTCTTCCATCCAGTGAGTGTGTTATTGTAAAGCCAGAGTAAATGGCACGGGTTTAAATGGGTTGTTTATTTGTATGCAAACACAAACAAGGTTTGCGTCCACATGATCTATGAGTATTGAATTATGTTTAACGTACATAACTGACACATTACCAAACAACAGCAAACACAAACAAACGTGTTCAGACGACAGTATCACTACAGCAGAGAAAGAGAGAGAGAGAGAGAGAGAGAGTGTGTGTGTGTGTGTGTGTGTGTGTGTGGATGGATGGATTGCGCTGTGATTTTGACTGTGTGCATTTGTATTTACCGCTCACAGATGAAATACTAGCGCTGTCCATCCGATCCATTTGTCTGACACTGTGTGTCTCTGAAAGACTGATTAAAAGTGTGTGTACCTGCTGCCGAATATTACTTTTAAAAGTTAGCCATCACAATACTGTGAAATGCGTAATAAAAAGTAAACAATTATGTTACATTGTTACTTTTTATGGAAAGTAACGTATGTGATACTTTTGACTTAGACAGTTGCACAGAAGCTGCATGTGTGAGAATGATTCCATTTTTTTTTATTTTTATGGAAGTTTAATGGGGCTCTGATGCGCTTTTCATTTTATCTGCAGACTCTTTGTCTATGGGTCAAAGACAAAAAGGGGGTTTCAAGCATTAAAAACAATAAAAGTTAAATGCAGCTTTATGTATTTATTTGTGTGCTTATTATTTTTAGAAAAAAATATTTTTATTATTTTATTTTGTTATTTTTATTATTTTAGTACATTATAATTTGTCCTTTTTGATTTAATTTTTTTCTGATCAAAAATGACCGTCATGCATTTTTATCATGATTTACAAAAAACATGTACTAAAATGTCATTCAGTTTAACAGTAGTTTAAAAAAAAATCTTGTCAAGCATAGTTAGAACAAGAATCATTAGAAGTCATTAAAGACATTAAAAGATCATAGTGTAGCCCCCCAAAAAACTAATTAATTGTCATTTTTTTATCTTTACCATTTTTTGCCACTGTTCTTCAAACCAATGTGTTTTGTCCATTTGTCAGCAAGAAGTGTTTAATCATTTAAAATGTAATAAAAATTAGTATTATCGTTTATATATATATTAATAAGTACAAGTCATAAAAGTATGTTGTTTCATTTTTCATCTGTTATCCTGAATGACAATGAATATTATATTACCTATATTTTGACATTTTGTTTTCACAAAAGTTATCTGAAACATTAAAGTAGAAACTTTACTTGCATTTAACATGCTTTTTATATATATAAAATCACTTAGTGTAAATATGTTAACACATCCATATCTTGACATTAGTCCTGTATGTTTGTCTGTCTGTAAATGTGTGTGTGTGTGTGTGTGTGTGTGTGTTGTAGGGCTGTAGGGATCACACGGTAGGACCGTACTGTGATCATTGTGCTCCTGGATACTACGGAGACGCCACCAGAGGAACTGCAGAAGACTGTCAGCCATGTGCTTGTCCTCTTCTGAACCCATCGAACAAGTACGTCAGCACTGATATCAAGAAGTCACGACATCAGAACCTACTAGTGGTCGACCAATATATCGCCAAGGCCGATATATCGGCCGATATTTGGCATTTTTCAAATATCGGCATTGGCCGATAAGTTTTCCTGTTTGGCCGATGCGTTCGAGGCGCTCCGAACTTTTATTTTGACGGCGCTGAGAGCGGCAGTGCCTGAAAACACAGTGCTCACATTCTCCTCCTCTTGTTCGCTGTTGTCGTTAACAGTTCTGTCTAAATACGGATAGAAGTCTGCCTAATTATCAGATAGAACAGTTAAACAAAGGAATTAAAATGTATACAAAAAGTATTATAACGATTGCTTTTATATTATTAGTAATAGAAAGGCAAACATTATAATACTTTCTTGTTTGCCGTCAGCATTCAGCAAATACGCATTTATATCATTTAAACAAATCTTTGAATGTCTAATATATATAATTTAAACAAATCTTTGAATGTCTAATAAACATCTAATTTCAAAAACCTTGCAAACTTAGCCAGATCCAGTTGTGAGATCTTGTGAAGTGTGCATGTGACCTGCATGATCACATGTTCTCTGCGTGACGGTCGGTCCTTGTGAATTGAATGCGGACAGGAGGAGAGTTCAGCTTCACTGAGGCGCGTGATCGACAAACTTTAAACTCATGATTTTAAAATATGCTCTGCTTTATGCATTTGCCCACTGTCATATTCGTGTCATTTTCACTGTGTGCTGTATGTAAAATGAGTGTTACCATGCTTTATTTGAAAAAAATATGATTAATGCACACAAACTTCCCAGAATACTGAGTGCCCTGTTGGTTACAGTGTTTACATTTTTAATTATATTTGTATTAAATATTTATTTATTTGTGAAAAATACTATGTCATCTAAAGTATAAGTATGTTTAACAAATTTATTTTTTAATCAATTTTCAAATGATTTCAAATTTCTTAAATATGAATTAAAATAAATAAAATTATATCGGCTTTATATCGACCATCGGCCACCCTGCTTTCCAAGATATCGGCTGTCAAAAAAACAATATCGGTCGACCACTAGAACCTACAAATAAACACCATCAATAATCAAAGTATTTTCAGAATATTACTGTATATAACTATCAGGCTATATTATGTTTTCCTATATTACATACATGTCCTCCTGAGACCCAGCCGTAGACTTTTTCCTCTGTAGAAGACAGTATATTTTAGCATATTTCTCACAGTTAGTCAAAGTTTTGAGTCTGGATTTTCAGGCTTTTCAGACATACCACATGTTTGAAGGATTGACCATGAAAACTCCCTCTCCTTAGTCTTTAAAATTATTGACATTGACTGAATCACTGAATTCAGCACTCTTATGGAAATATGATCATATTTTTGTAATTATCATTTATCATATCATCATGACTAATTTTCAAATATGAGATATTCTTATGAAAATGTTAAAAATGTATAATCATTCTGTAATATCTTTAATAACATTAATCATCTTTGTAAAGATTTTCAATAAAAAAAAAAAGAAGCTTGGAACCATGACATAGGAAAACGAAAAAAACTTTTCTGGGTCTCAGGAGGATATAGTAATATTTATGTTTCACATTAACAATGAGGATCTCAATTACCATGACACATTCACTTACACTCAATTTAAATTCAGAGTTTCAAGTAAAAAAGAAAAAAAAACTATTGTACTGTATAACTAAATCAAAATAACAGAGATAAACCCAGTACTAAACGTCTCCAGGTTACGTATGTAACCATGGTTCCCCGAAGGGAACGAGACGCTTTGGGAACACCCCGGCGAGACCACGTACAGAAGCATGTATGAAATCAGTCCAATAGAGAAGCGAGACGTCACGAGCGGGGTGACGTGAGCAACCAGGAAGTATAAAAGCGCATCTGGCAAATGCACATGTTAGCTTCTGCGGAAGCGAGCGCCTGCAGGGATGCTGGGAGTATGGCAGAAAGACGCAGCATTTCTTTCCCTTCGGGGAACCATGGTTACATACGTAACCTGGAGACGTTCCCCTTCAGGAACTCGAGCTGCGTCTAAACGCTTTGGTAACGAGAATACCCGCTGCGCCATACGAGCAAGTCCCTGTCAAGTGTGTATCTGGTGAGCACACCAAGACGAGAGAACCTGGGACCCTGGAGTAGATGTAAATTGTAAAATCGGACAAATGTGTGCAGAGAGGACCAGCCCGCCGCAGCACAAATATCTTGAAGGGCCACACCCACTGATAAAGCCTTGGAGGCCACCATACTCCTAGTCGAGTGCGCCCAATGGGTGACTGGAGGCCAGAGGACTCGTAGGCCAGTGTGATGGTCTCGACCACCCACCTACTCATAGTTTGCTTAGTCGCAGGAGCCCCTTTCTTAGGCGGACCAAAGCAAACAAATAACTGATCTGCCTTACGCCACTGGGCAGCTCTGTGAACGTAAGTATTCAGTGCTCGCACTGGACAAAGCTTTCCTGGCCTGTTTTCTGGAAGGGAGGAGGACAAAAGACTTGTAGTACTACAGGACCTGGTGAAGAAGTGGGCACCTTAGGGACATACCCGGGTCTCGAGTAAAGGAACGCCCTAACCATGCCCGGGGCAAACACCAGGCATGATACAGCGAGTGCCTGAAGATCCCCTATCCTCTTCAGTGAGGATATGGTGAGTAAGAAGATCGTCTTCAGCGTTAGCAGCTTTTCAGAGATATCTTCAATGGGTTCGAAAGGACACAAAGCCTTCAGAACCACCGCCAGGTCCCATGAGGGCACCTTGGTGTGCTGTACTGGCCTCAGCCTCCGAGTGCCATGGAGGAAACGTGTAACTTACGGGTGTCTTCCCAATGACTGACCATCTAGAAGGGTGTGGTAAGCAGCTATGGCCGCCATGTATACCTTCAAACTGTAGGGAGATAACCCAGCGGAGAAATGCACCTGCAGAAACTCCAGAACTTTACCAACTCGGCAGTTCATTGGGACTTGCAGTCGCTGTCCACACCAAGAAGTGAAAAGTCTCCACTTCAATCCATACAGTTTCCTCGTGGCAGGAGCTCTGGACTGGAGTATGGTCTCAACAACCTCAGTAGAGAGACCGGATGCTAGGAGCTGTGCCCCCTCAGGGGCCACGCCCACAGTATTCATAACTCCGAGCGGGGGTGAAGAATGGTGAGAGGAGCCTGAGAGAGGAGATCCCTCCTGATCGGAATCTCCAACGGAGGGCCGTCGAGGAGGGACACAAGGTCCGAGAACCATACTCGGTTGGCCAGAATGGGGCTACTAACAGAAGATGGAACCCGTCCCGGCATTCTCTCTCCAGAACTCCCGGAAGCAGAGCGATCGGGGGAAAAGCGTACAGACAGAGCCTCGACCACGTCTGCACCATGGCGTCCAGCCCAAGTGGAGCTGGATGCATGAGGGGGAACCAGAGTGGACAGTGTGTTGTTTCCTGCGACGCAAATAGATCCACTTCCGCCTGGCCGAACTCCCTCCATAGGAGCTCCACCACCTCTGGGTGGAGCCTCCATTCCCCGGGCCTCAGCCCCTGTCTCGACAGGATGTCTGCTCCCTGATTGAGGTGCCCAGGGATGTAGACTGCTCTGATTGAGAGGAGCTTTCCCTGAGCCCACAGGAGGATCTGTTGCGCCAGCCTGTAAAGGGGGCGAGAGCGCAGACCCCCCTGCCGATTGATGTCGGAGACCACGGATGTGTTGTCTGTGCGGACAAGTACATGATGTCCCCTTAGGTCTGGAAGTAAGTGTTTTAGAGCTTGAAACACGGCCAGCATATCCAGGTAGTTTATGTGCCACGTAAGATGATGGCCTTCCCACCGACCTTGGGCAGAGTGGCCACTCATGACCGCTTCCCAGCCCGTGAGGGAGGCATCTGTCGTTAGCGTTACGCAACGACAAGGAGCCCCCAATATCGGGCCTTGAGACAGGAACCAAGGTTTCCCTTCACATGTCTAAGGCACGTAAACATCGCCGCGTGACCTTGGTCCTGAGCAATGGTCTCATGTACAGCAGGCCAAAAGGTATCACGTTGGACGCAGCTGCCATCAGACCCAACAGTCTCTGAAACTGTCTGACATTGAGTGACTGG